AACGGACGTCAGGACGACTGTTCGGGCAGCGGCCAGGGAGTCGTACGCCACCATCCAGTCGATCTCCAGGTCCGCGACGCTCGCCACCGACAGGTAGGCCTTCGTCGACCAGGTCAGGAACGCTCGGTATCGGACCAGGTAGCTCCAGACGGCCCTGTCCTTCACGGCCCTCAGCTCGAGGAACGACCGCTGGAGCTGATCCCGCCAGCTCCCGCCATGGGGCAGCCTCGCCTGGCGGCGGCCCCCTCGCCCCGGGCGGTTCGGAGACTCGGCTGCCAGCCCCCGCGGCCCCGCCGGGCTCGCGGCTGCCGTCGCGGGGGCTCGCGCAGACAGAAGGCCAGCGAACCTCCCCTTCGAGGCTGGGCGGGGGCCCGATGTCGGCCCAGCTCTCGCCAGCAGGCCCTCCGCGCCCGCTCGCAAGGCTGGGGCCGCCAGCGGCGGCGCCGAGGCAGCAGGAGTCGGCCACAGCGCCAGAAGAACGCAGCGCCGCTAGCCAGCGAAAGGGGCGCCAGCTTCCGGCACGCGCGGCCCATCTCCCGCCGCGCCCCTTGGTGGCGGCCAGGATGGCTCCCAAACGGTCGCCCAAGCAGAGATGGCATCGGTTGAGTGATGAGACACGTCGAAGGACATGACGAACGGCCGCGACCATGCCGCGGACCCCAAGACAACCTGATGCTCTGAACGACTCCAGCGATGAGACACCGCGGGGGCCCAGCCTTTCGCCCAGACGTCGTGTGGAATGTCGGGGAACTCCTCCTCCTCCTCGACGCCATTGACCATCTCCTCCTCCATGTGCACCCCTTCGTCACGGACTCCTTGACGGGCTCTTCTACGGGCACCTCCAGGGGCTCCTTGATCGGGGTCTTCGGGTTCCCGGAGCAGTCGATGGTGAAGACCGACTCTGGGGTGAAAGGGTCGGCGGAAGTCGCCGACTTGAAGGCGTGGGGCCGATGCGACATCTCGGAATCCTGATGAGTACAGAATCTCCATCTCTCATTGTACTTGGAGAACTCACGAGCGACTGGGGCAGACGACTTTTTCTGAGTGACCCCAACTCCCCACCACGATGAATCAACCATCGTGAGCGCGCTGTCGAATGGGGCGCCAGCGTCCCGGAAACAGAACACGACGAGGCTGGCGCACCAGCGAAGTTCGCGGAGGCAAGAGGGCCACAGCCGCGCCGCGCGGCCTCCATACTGGGCAGAAAAGGCGCACAGCGAGTCGAGAGCGGCCAAAAGCTCTCGGCGAATCAGACCCCGCGAGGTGAAATGGGACACCACGCGCGAGATCGTCTTGCCCGAGGCATATCCCCGTCGACGCAGCTCCAGGAAGGCCAAACGCAACTTCCAGCGGAGCGCTGGGTTCAGGCCGATGATCGGGAACTTCTCGTCGAACTGCCAGCCTAGTGCCACGGCGCCCAAGCTGCTCTCGACTCCGTGGGTGGGGAGACCCGCTGCACGAAGGTTCGAGTCCACGGCCGACGCCGCGGCGACCGCCGTCTCCAAGTCCGTAGAGAGGCTGATCGCGTTGTCCACGTACTCGGTATGAATCACACCCTCGGACACCAGCGGCACAGGTCGGCGGTCCACGAAGCGGCTCGCGAGGGAGGGAGAGCGCGGGCACCTTCAGAGCCATCCCCTCCAGCATCGCCCGGCAGATCCAGAGGCTGAAGGAACAGCCCATCAGGGGGGACCTGAAGCACGGGTACACCAGGTCGGTTCCCGCCAGGCGCCGCCCGTCCGCGGTGCTCTCGAGGCCCAGCAACCCCACGCGGCAGCCAGGGGGCGCGAAGTGCCTCCTGAACATCGGAGGCAGCAGCATCGTGTAGAACGCGTCCGCCAGGTCGACCTCCGCCACCGCGATGGCCTTGCCCCCGTCCACGTGGAGGCCGGCGAAGGTCGCACCCGACGCTAAAGCGACCTTGTCGGGGACCTGGAAGTGCAGAGATGCGCGCCTGCCGCCCAGGATGAGCCGCAGCTTTCCCGACTTCTTGTAAACGGAGAAAACGCGCTCGAGGATCCGCAGCAGCTGGACATACAGCATGGGCTTCCTCAGCGCCGGGTCGGTGTAGAGCTTCCGGGGGCCCTCAGACTCGATCCGAGCACGACCCTCAGATTGGGACAACATCATACAATGAAGCCGTTCGACTATTTTTCGGCCAGCATCCCCTCCCAGCGCGTCAAGCGGCACGGGCTTGAAACCCTCGTCTGGAAGCGAGAGACTATTGATATTATCAAAGTCGAGCGGAGCGACTGTGGCGCTCTCGCCAGCGTGGTCGCTGAGAGCTCGGAGCCCCCTAAGGGCTCCCGGGCCAGTCAATCCCTCCGGGGGCGCGCCGAATCGTCGGACTGCGTCTCGAACGTTGTCCAGGGCCTGCCGCTGGCCCGCAGTGATGGGCTGAGGATGGCTGACGGGGTGCCAGGGCTGGCCAAGGTGCAGCTCGTTGAGGGTCCGAACGATCTCGCCCTCCATCGAGTTGGCGTGGCCCTTGCGGAGAACCCGGCGCGCCACCCAACGTGAACAAGCGAAGCCCTGCGCCTCCGAAGTCGCCCGATGCTGTTGACCGGGCCCAAGCAGTGGAATTAGATCACGCTGTCGTCCAGCACGATCGCCCAACGAGTACAACTCACCAGCAGGCGGCGGGGCACCGCCGCTGGGCCCCCCATCCGAAAACACGTGCACCGCCGGGGGGAAGCGGCACATGTGGTCGTGGACCCGTCGTGACTGCAAGGCCCGCGGCTCCTCGCGGGCCTTGCGAACTTGCTTCAGCGCCGAAGCGTCCACCCCCACCTCCTTCGCCACGTGCTCGAAGAGCAAGGGGCAACTCATGCTCTCCCCCTGGCCTCGAGGGAGACCCGCGAAGACGGTGCCATCGTTGATGAACCCGAAGCTCAGCAGGACCTGGCGCCCACCGCCTTGGCCCCGGCCTCGGACCTTCTTCTTGTCGTACCCCGTCGTCGCCTCCGTCTCCGACAGGGGACGCGCTGAGGTGGGGATCTCGATCCACGTCGTGCACGTACTCATACGTCAAGCACGTCCTGAACATCTGCTCTCCATCCGTCGGGTTCGGCACGTCGAGGCCGCCCCAGTAGGAGAGGGTGTACATGGCCCGCATATTTGCCTCGTAGGCGCCGCCTCCGTAGTCATCAGCCGACAGCCCAGGGCCGAGCATCCAGAACCTGAGGCGGTCGAACGGACCGACCTGCCGTCGGTCTATGAACTGACAGCGCCAGAAGCACATGTGGGGGCCAGGAAAGTGCCAGTCCACGAACGACTCCTCTGTGAAGTAGGCCACAGCACCGCGCCACTGCGTCGAGAGCCTGCCGCTCATAACCGTTGGGTTCGCGACGATGCTCCACATCAGCCTGGTGTCGGAAGTGGCCCCCCTCCCCGCGTAGATCTGCGCGGGCTCGGAGATCGAGCGGACGGCCACCCACGCCCCATCAGCCAGCGGCATCAAGCCGGCGGCCCCGCGGAGGTGCGAGCCAGCAGGCGGGATCACCACGGCCGTGGGGGCCCCGGCGCCTGCGGCGGCTAGCCCAGCGCCCGCGCCAGGCCCAACGCCTCCTGCGGGACCGCAGGTCTGCGGGACGGCGAACGGCCCGCCCGGCACAGGCAGCCGCAGGCGCAGGTGGTCGGTGGCCAGAGCGGCGGTGCCGTAGTCCAGCGCAGTCGGGTCGATCTGCTGCATCTGCGCCACCGTGCGGTTCCTTCCGAACCCGTACGAGTTGACGGCACCGACGCCTGGAGGGAGAGCAGCTCGATCTGATGCGAACCTCACCGCAGCGATGTCTCTCCCCTGGCGTGAGTAGCCTTCCTCATAGATGTCATTGACCACCGCACCGAGGAGCACCATCCATTTAATGACTCTCCAGTCGAGTCCACCACCGTCGCCCTGGATCAGACGCTGGTGCCACATCCGCTCTCCTTCGTAGTGCACCGACGCTCCCTGGAGCATCCCATGAAGTGTTGCTCCCACTGGGCCCACGTTCTGCACGGCCAGTCCTGCGGCGGCAGCACATCAGCACGACACGGTTCCACGACAGAGCGCCGTAGGCCAGCGCCAGGACCAGCAGGAAAACCTCGTTCACCAGCACCACAGACCAGACGGAGGAGGGCTGTCTTGGTTCGCTGCTCCCCCCGCCGTTCGCCGAGGGCGTGGCGGGAGCGGGGGAGCCAACGGGACACGTCGGACAGCCAGGACAAGGCGGGCACACACAGCTCGGTATGGCGGGGCAAGAAGGAACGTGGACTGGTGGGCACCTCTGCAGGTTGCTGCCCAGGAGATAGGCGAACGCTCCCTGCCAAATGTACTGGGCGGCAGGGAGCCAGTAATCCATACGCACTGCCTTGGTGCAATTCTTGAGCCTAAAAACCCACGGAAGCGATCTAACATCGACGGCCTGGACTCGTGACGGGATGAGGAAAGACATCCACGCATAGGATATATTTCGCATGAGTCATTTGATTCCTATTCAATACCGCTCTCCCAATGCAACCTCATGGCGTTTCCAACGTAGACGTCCTCCAGGAAGGCCCGAAAGGGCACAAATCATTGATTTCCCTTAGGTTGTTGAAGGAATGTGGCATTTTCGTTCTATCAGCTCTCCGACGGCCAAGACAGCCCAAGAGGCCCCCAACATCGTCCCAAGAGCGCCCAAGAGGCCTCCAAGATGGCGCCATGACAACCCAAGAGGCCCACAACAGACGGCCCGAGATGGCCCCGATAACGCCAAAGATGGCCTCCAAGACGGCCAAGATGGCCTCCAAGATGCCTCCAAGACGGCCAAGAAGGCCTCCGAGACAGCGAAGATGGCCCCGAGATGCACCCAAGACGGCCACCGATGGCCTCAAGGTGGCCTTACACTAACCACCTGGTCCGATAGCTCGCCCGACTCCGTGTTCCCCGAAAACTTTCGAAACCTACTCGGGGAACGCGTGGCCCGATAGCTTGGCCAAGCTCAAACCCAACTTTCGGCCACGCAGGCGCTTCCAAAAAGGCAGGGGGGGGCGGCGGTGATTCGCCGTAGGCGTCTTCGATTGGCTGCTTCATTTACGAATTCAATTTCGGCGTCACGCACTGTGACTCAAATCTTATCACCAGAGAACTTCGCGAGGCTGCTGGCTCATTGAGACGGCATCGCTTGGACCACCCTAACTCGGGGTGGCAACAAAATTCTTCGCGAGGCTGCCAGCTCATTGAGACGGCATCGCTTGGAGACTCGATCCCCTGACCACCAGTGGCAAAAGCAACGTCAGTCGGCTGGTTGAGCCCGCATCGCTATGGAACGACCTGTTCCTAACCACCGGCGGCGAACTCCCGAAAAACCCACGGCATCGCGGCGTGGTGCAGCGGACGCAAGGTGCCGAACACCGTACCTCACGCAGACACCGGGCCAAGCGAGCCCGAGCAAGAACACTAATTATGAACAGGGGCTGCTGTCGGTCTTCGTACCCTCTCATTCCGAACCCACCTCGATCACTAATGAATGCAAAACGCCCCAAGCATTGAAATCTCAGGGCAAACAGGGCGTGATGCTTGGAAACATATACGATACTATGGAGCCGTTTGTGTAGGGGTGCCCCCCAGAAACAGTGGAAGGAGGAAGAGGAGGAGGAGGAGTCCCAGGAGGCCTACGGAAACAGCGAGGCGGACGGCGACGGCGCCCACGCCGTGGTCGCCCTCGTCGCTGGCCGGAGGCGGCGGTCCGAAGTCCCGCTGGCGGGCCGGCCCCCGGCTGGCCTCGGCAGGCCCGCCGGGGGCTGGCTCGCGCCGGCGGAGGCTGGCGGGCATGCCAGGGACGCCCTGGCCGAGGTCAGCGCTGCGCCGCTGCCCACCGAGCGGGCGACGCGGGGAATGCGACACTAGATCGTTGGCATCGAAGCCTGGCGTGTTGACCATGGCTGTCGCGAGGGCACGCCGCTTCGAGGCAACTCGAAGCACCCCGCCCGCCCCGCGCGTCCCCGCCCCCCCCGGGTCAACGCTGACCCGGGTTAACCAAGGCCAAGTCGAGAACTCTGACCAGCCGCAAAGGAGCTCCCCAATCAGCTCCACGTGCCTCCCAAGCCTGGGGTCAGCCAAAAGGAATCGGAAGGGACTGGCTGGCCCGCGTTAGCGCTGGCCCCCGTGACGTGAAGGCCCCGAGCCGAAGGCGGCCCACCCGCCCAGGCGGCTCGGCTGCCGCTCAGAGTCCAAGGTCGACGCGGACGCCGTGCTTGCCTGGGAGGAGGCGGGACGGCATGAGTGGCGGAGCCCAGGGGCACACAAACAAACATAAGCCAATCCCAAGACTCCCTGTATTTTGTCCATCTTGATTTTCGTCGTCCCTCCCATTCACTTCCCATGTGCTCCTGGGAATCGGCGTTAATTTGTGTCTGTGTCCATTTTTCCCTCCTGAATGACTATGCACTTTCGGAGGTCCGCGCGGGCTTTGCAGGGTGGGGGGGGTCCAGCTCCGACCCAAGAGATCCGCTTGGACCTCCGAAGACTTATGGCTGTGCGTTTTGTTTGTTCGCTGGGTGCCCTGCACGAACTCCATGCCGATCTCGACGGGCCGGAGCTTCGCCAGCACGTCATTGTTGTGGTCGTCTATCCTGCGCACGTCCCGAGGGTCGCCGGCCAGCACGTTGTGCAGCATCGTGCGCAGGAACAGGCTGCCGGCGCCGAAGCACAGGAAGATTGTAAACTTCTGGTTGAAAGTCCTAGAGGGTGAAACAACCTAGGTCACCGAATTTCGTGCATCAAGAATGCGCGACGCGCGATTACCGGGGGCGCACATACATAGATCAGCGATCCGTGCATTTGGCGCACGGTCGCCGAATCCAGGGATCGGGGGAGGTGCCCTCCCCCAAAATGCGGCCAGTGCGGCCTCTTTCGGCGGCGGAAGTCAATGATTTCCCATGGAAGCGGGACCCGACGTTAATCCACGCCCCCTTGATCCATGCTTGCGATCGCCTGAGATTACCTTCGCGCCCTCGCGCGCTCGCGCCGCCCCCATGGAGAAGGGCAGCCGCTCTGGCCCAGACAGCGACGCGCGCAGCGCGATCATCTGCGCGCCTCCTCGGGCGGCCTAGAAAAAAACACCCCAAAGAAAACACCTACAGGCGAAGCCCTCAAGAACTCCTCGTCCTCCTCCTCCTGCTTCTCCTCCTCCTCCTCCTCCTTCTCCTCCTCCTCCTCCTCCCTCTGAACACGTATCTAGGGAAGGAAAATAAAGGAATCGGCCAGGGCAGAACTGGGTAGCAGACGCCCAGGACTGTTTAGCGCACGCCATGTTTGTAAGGGTCGGGGTGCTTTATTCCTCCCTTGAAATCCGTGACCGCGCCGGGCCCATGACGAACGCCAGGAGGTAGCCGTTAATGAAGACCCCGACGGTTCCGATCAACACAATCATCTTCTTGCTGCTGCCAATGTCGGCAGCTATCTCGGGGTACGGACGGCCCGTGACGAAAATCATGCGCGTCTGGAGCAGTTTGTATTCAACCATCGTCACAGCGGCC